ATCTGCGGCGTGGGCCATGTGCTGGGCGACGCTGCAAGAAGGAGCCAAACAGTACCTGTTTTGGGATGCGGTTGTCCGGCATCCGCGCCACATGCCCCAACCACTCCAACCGCCGATGTGCAATTTTGTCTTTAATCGTCTCGGAGTCTCCCCAGCGCACCAGCAGCTCTTCGTTGGTGATGTGTTCGTCCCACATCCGGCTTCGAGAGACCCCGAGGATGGATCGGATGCACCTCATGCTGAAGGTTGAGAGCTTCTGCAGGTCATGCTGAAGGGGCGTCCAGCACTCAGAGCCATACAACAGCAGGGACAGAACGCAAGCATTGAATACGCACCGCTTGGTGTGCATCAGCAGATGTGGATTGGAGAATACAGACCTCCGAAGAGCACCGCAGGCCCTGGAGGCTTGGGCAATCCTTGCGGCGATGTCCCGGGACGAACGGCAACCGCTGTCCACTACAGAACCGAGGTATTTGAAATGCGGTACGCATTCCACCTCCGCTTGACCAAGTTGGAGGGGAGCGCGGTCAGTAAGCGTGATGCCGGGGCCAACAACTACAAACTGAGTCTTCGTTGCACTGATGGTCAAGCCGAATCCCGACGCCACCTCGTGAAGACAGCACAATGCTGCCCCCGCTCCAGACCGAGTCGTAGCGAATAAACAAGAGTCGTCAGCAAACTGGGAATCTGTTAGGCAATGGTGTTGGTCGTCACGGCGGGGTTTACGGTATAAATCGCTGCTGTATGCTGAGCGGAGCTCGAAGCCAACCCCGTCAACTCTCCTGACGCGGTGTTGCCACTGGGTCATCACGGCCCACATAAAGATATTAAAAAGGACCGGCGCCATAGAGCACCCCTGGCGAAGACCATTGCCAATGCTGAACGGGTCTGATAATATGTTGTTGAACTGCACCGATGCTGACATGGGGTCGTGGAACGACCGGATGATGTTGATAAGCTTTTCTGGTACTCCCGCACGGCCGAGGACCTGCCACAGACACCCCCTGGGCACTGAATCATAGGCCTTCTTCAGGTCGATAAACACAAAAAATCCCTTGGCCTGATGTTCGATTGACTTTTCCATGAGCTGTCGGACGGTGAAGATCATGTCAGAGCAGCCACGCCCTCGCCGGAACCCGCACTGGGACTCAGGGAGAAATTCCTCCGCGAATACCTGCAGCCTTCTCTGAAGGACACTCGCCAAGACCTTGCCGACCACATCCAGCAACGCAATGCCCCGCCAATTGTCGCACTGCGACAAATCTCCCTTCTTTGGAATGGGGATGAGGGTAGCATCCGCCCACTCCCGCGGAACGCAGCCATCTCGCCACACATCTCCAAACAGCTCCATGAGCTTGTTGTTGAGCTCCTCGCCACCGAACTTTAGCAACTCTGGCTGTATCCTCGATGAACCAGCAGCGGTGCCATTGCGAAGTCGAGAAATGGCCTTGGAGATCTCATGCATGGTTGGTGGTTCCTCAAGGCTCGACACTACAGGTCGCTGCTCAACGCAAGCCATGATATCGGGGTTGTACGAGCTCTCTGGGTTCAGGACAGATGTGAAATGCCTCTGGAACCGCTTGCATTGATCCTCAGTCGACTGGCACAGGTTTCCATTCTCGTCCTTAATGGCGGAAGTCTTGCACGGAGTTAATCCCTCACATGCAGCGTGGATAGCATGAACGCATTTCCAGACGACTGCCCCGTTGAAGCGCGCCTCTGTTGCCTCCTGTGCCTTATTCAAAATCCAAGCCTCTTTGGCATTTACAACGGCTGCGCGCGCCTGCGATCGAGCAGCCCCGAAGCTGGCCCAATACGTGTCGCCCCTCTGCTGACCGTGGGCAAGCCACTCCGCGTAGCACTCATTGCGGGCGCGCAGAAGGGGCTGTATGGTTGCAGAGTTGTCATCATACCAGTCGGCCTGACGGCGTTCGCTCGGGCCCAATACATCAGCGGCTGTGGCAACCACGGTATTGCGCACATGGGTCCACTTCTCCCCAACGCTACCATCGCTGCTCCAGCAATCTCGCAATCCAGTAGATAAAGCGGCACGATACTTGTCCGCGGTGGTCACGCAGCGCGGGGGGCGACGTCCCACATCGTTGACGTCTTGTAACGTGGATGCGCAGGAATCCGATTGATCATGCTCGGCCACCGCCTTACTCCGCAGCTTGCCGACATTAAATCGGCGCCCCCGGCTCGCTCCACGTCGGGCAACCCCCACCGGGCGATGCGGGAACTCAAAGACTATACAAAGCAGCTGGTGGTCACTGCCACACTCAGCACCACGAACAACGCGCACGTCCCTGCAAAATCGCCGATGATCCTGACGCATCAAGATATAGTCGATGCAGTGCCACTGCAGAGAGCCGGGGTGCTGCCACGTCCGCTTGAAGATATCCCGCTTGGGGAACCAGGTGTTGCAGATCCACAAATTATTTATTGCTGCAAACGACAGTAGCTCATCTCCAGAGGAATTCAACTGTCCAAAACCATGCATGCCGCGCACACCACTCCAGCCATCGTCAGCTGTTCCTGAACCCACACGGGCGTTGAAGTCTCCAAGCAGAATACAGCAGTCCCTGTCAGGAACGCCAGCTATTACCTCCTGCAACTGTTCGTAAAACTGATTTTTGCTGGCACGCGGAGCTGCATAAGTCGGAGCATACGCACTGACTACCGTCACCCATGCGACTTCTCCCCCACGCAGGGCGAATTTGAGACGTGCAGTGACAAGACGAGGGCCCACAGCCCGCCAGACCGAACCACCATTCTTCCACGCGTCTGTTGCAAATTTATTGAGTGCCAGGGCGACTCCTTCTCCTCGTCTGTTGCCCGGAGCTCCATCGCCAGGCACGGGCGACCCGAACACAAGATAGTAAAACCGTCAACGACATAAATGTCATCGCCGAACCAGTGTGTCTCCTGCAATCCAGCCGCCGCCACGCTCAACCTGCGCAGCTCGGCAGCAACACGACGACATTTCTTGTCCTCTGCTACTCGGCCAGAAACGCTCGCCGTAGCTACGCCGCCACTCCTTTCCACAAGGGAGCGAACATTCCACGACCCAAACGTCAAGCAGCGCCGTCCCTCTCTCCCACTCTTCTCCCTCTCCTTGACGTACTTCATAGCTTTTCGGAGCTGGATGGAGATATTCCACTCGGGGGCTCGTCACACCACCGCGAGTGGCGACTTCGGGCGCAGCAAGAGGTGGCGGTATCAAAAAAAACTCGCCTCGTCCTCCTGCTACGTGGCTCCCGTCGTCGGCAGCTCACTGTCTACGTACTGGCCCTGGAGACAACCCTCAAGGGGTCGCTCCAGGCCTCTCTTTCGCCCAAAAGTACTCCACACACACACACACACACACACACACACACACACACACACACACACACACACACACACACACACACACACACACACACACACACACACACACACACCTTTGACCTTGACCTTTGACGCCCATCGCCGGAGGCGATGATAGCAATGCTACGGCAGAAGCCATAGCAACTTGTGCTGGGATTGCACCATTCAACAGCTTGCAAGGCTGAAGAATTGACCGTCACTATTCAGCCTGGTCTACACCATACAGCTATTTGAAGTGACTTTTTCTGGCCAGTGAATCCCTACACACACACACACACACCCACACACACACACAGGCCACAACGGCGAGAACAAGCACGGATGGAGGCCAGAAACAAGAGCCCGAAAAAGTACAACCGTCCTCCACCAGAGCGGAGAACATACACACACACACCCACCCACACACACACACACACACACACACACACACACACACACACACACTATTGACCATTTGACGCTCATTGCCGGAGGCGATGATAGGGATGCTACAGCAGAAGTCATAGCAACTTGTGCTGGGATTGCACCATTCAACAGCTTTTACACACACACACACACACACACACACACACACACACACACACACACACACACACCACACACCCATACACACCCACACCCACGCAAACACGCACACACACACTGACACAAACTTCCCCACATACACACGCATGCACCCCCCCCCCCCCCACTCTCGCACACACACGCACCCCCCCCCCCCCCCCCCCTCCCACGCTCTCGCACACACACGCACCCCCCCCCCCCCATACGTACACCCACACAGCCCCCCCCCCCTATACGCACACACATGCATGCACACATGCTTGCACTTGCTCACTGCCATAACTGGCCCAACTTCTGCGAAAACCAGGCTTAGGGTGAAAATAATTTTTTTGAGAAAAATGATGTTTTGTAAAAAGGTTGTGTCGCGTGGACGCTCGAGTGCAGTGAAGTGGAACCAAAGAGAATCTCGCTTGTTTGAAGAAGTAGCAGTCATGGCAGGAAGAGTTTCAGCAGTCAGGGAAGTCAAAGGGCTTCCGGTAGAATATTCCTTGCTTCTCCTCTAGTCACAACGAAGAGTTTTTGAGCTAATCGAACGGATTCCATCTCCTTCACTCAGGGATGGCGAAATTTCGGCGCTAGCTGCTGCTTGCGAAAATGGTGAAGAAATTGTCTCCAGTTAGAGTCGTGATGGCGGTAGCAAGGAGAACCTGGACGACATCGATCCAGCCAATCGAAGTACGGAGATACTAGCTGTTTCTGGGCCTTACGCAAAGGTAACACGCACAGCAGAGCTCATACGTGTGCAGCAAGTTCACGAGGAAAAAGGCTAGAAGCGCAGTGTGAAAACTGTTTTGAATTCTAGTCCTTGGCAATGAAGTGTTACTGAATGCCAGGCGAATGAGCGAGCAGATCGAGAGGCCTCCACTCGAGACTTTCCTCGCTGGACCGCTAACTGCAAGGGATTGTACGGCGTGCCGAGATTTCACTTGCTCGTCAGCACCAAGCAGACACAGCAGCACGCCAGCACACTATGCGCATACTACGAACAGTGGAACAGTTTGAAAGGCCATGTTCTTGCTTGTTTTTGAATAGTTGTACATGTACTAGATTCACCCTTCAAAAGGTGCCATCTCAACTGGAGTCGGGTTTCCTTGTGGTGTGTAGCGCCAGAGCATGCCAGTACATGTATGCAGCCCCAGAATGTGCTGAATGAGGAGATATGATATTTGACGAAAACAATCATGGTGTAGATTTCACATGAGTTCCAATACACCACATCAGCAAAGCTCTTTCTTAGAAAAATAATAATAATAAGATAAATGAAATGAAATCATTGGTCATCACAGTTAGTCATGTGCGTCCACACCAAAATTACAGCCGGTCATGTGTGTTCACACCACCGCAGAACAAACGTTACTCCACTTCTGCTGGTCAACTGCACAACTTCTTAGGGTTTCTAACCAAAGATACAAGGGATCAAACTCGACGATGGAATCAAAATGAAAATTTGAAAAAGCCTAATCCAAAGAAACTCAAGGCAAATGTAACAAGGTTGTGTAAAAGATTCAACTCAATCCCTAGACGAATGCTTTGAAAAGATGTGAAGTATGCATGGAGGAAAAATAAATAGAAGTAAACAAAAAAGGAAAACAATACCTGACGATGGCCAAGTGTTGAAACGTTGTAAAAATATCGGAACTGGTTCGGATGTGATGTGCAGCGCTATGGGAATGGGTGTGTCTACCTGAATTCTTTTCACAGATGAAGCTGCAGGAAGCCTCAGCCCTTCTTCAAACAATAGAAAACGCAACAGTAATCCAGAAAAACAAGAGCAGCTACACAAAGTCACAATCCGACCAACAGCAGGCGCGTAACGCCGTATCGCAAAACTCGCAAACAAAGCAGCTAGAGTTTGCCGTACAATGTCCGCAAAACAGGATAATACGTACCGCAAAGTGCCTGCGTTCAACGTTACGTTCATCATATCCATGTGTCGATGCGTGGACTGGACTTGTACTCGTGTTGTTTGTTGTTGTTTCTTATTTGAATTCGCAATACCAAACGGGCAATAAGCCCAATTACATGGAAGCGAATAAAAAAATGCTAAGAATGAGGCATTGGGGTGGATATTATTTCAAGTGGAAATACTGATCCCGGAGGGTACTACAAATACAATGTAGGTACAATGAAAATCTGAAAAAGGCCATGATACTGTCGTTTGCCATGCTGCAAGCAGCTACATGTACATGTAGAAGGAAAACAACAAGAAAGACGTTGTATCTGATGTATTGGACAAACAGAGCTAACAGGAAAAGACCGTTCGTTATAATTATGCCTATACATACTGTCCGTGTGTGTGTGGGGGGGGGGGGAGTGCATGTCACTGTTTCTCTTCTTTAAAAACGTTTATGGCCTGAGAGTGTACGGGTACACGGCTGCTGCGAAATCGGCCACGGCTTTGCAGGAACGTACACTGGCTAGCAGAGTGTTCCACAGTGCACTCGTGCCGGGTCTACATCCTTCACATGCTGCTCCCTTCCATCTTGGTTGCCTCTACAGACCCCCGAATTCCCCAGCATCGTTTTGGACTTCCCTGGCGCAGGAACTGACAGAACTCCAGGGTAACTCGTTGGTGCTCATGGGTGACCTGAACGTGGATTCTCTCCAACCTACATCCCAGCTCTACTCGTCTCTCCTTACCAACTTTCTTTTGCCCTTTAACTTTCTAAACTGTATTCACGACCCAACTCGCGTTTGTCCGAAGTCGTCATCGTCAATTGACTACATTCTAAGTAATACAGATGCTGTCTCAGGCGGTATTGTTCATGACTTTGAGCACTCCGATCACTGTTTGGTATGTGCAACCTTGACCACCCCCGACCCCTACTCTTTCCCGACTGACTGCAACCAGCGCCTGCCCAGTCGGGACTTTTCCAACACCGATATCAAGCAATTGGAGACCCTCTTAGAGTCCGCAAACCTCTGTACTTTCTCTCTCTCTTCCAGCGTGAATAGTATGGTTGACGAATGGACAAGTAAAGTTGACTCAGTGCTGGATTTGGTAGCGCCATATAAACCGTCTAAGCATTACCGACATGCTCCTCGTCGAAAGTGCCCCTTTGTTACGTCAGAGCTACAAGCACTAATTCGGAGGCGCAAAGCGGCCTTTCGCACGTGGCGCAAGGGAGGTTCCACAGACACCAAGCTTTACAACAGCTTTCAGCGCCTTCGCACCCAATGTAACAATCTCTATCGTCGTCTGCGGAACCAGCACTATCAGAGAATTTGTGCCGAATACAGAAAATCTCCGCGTCGCTTATGGGCTACAATCAACTATGTGACAAAGCGTAAACCAAAGTCGTCTCCCATTCTTGCACCTAACCTGAATGACCACTTCCATGCTATAGTCCACGACCCCACAAGCACGTACGACCTGCCGTCTGGACCGGTCCTTGAAGATGCATTGACCTCTTTCGATCGGGTCAGCACTACAGAGGTAGAGCGTGCTCTTCGCTCCCTTATACCGTGCAAGGCACCGGGTCCAGATGGCCTTCTGCCTGGTTTCCTCAAGGCCCGTCCTCCTTGGCGCCTTCTTTGGCAGAAATCTTCAGCGCGTCTCTTAGCAGT